GTAAAAGAAAAGAAAGAAGAGAGAGAGAGAGAGAGAGAGAGAACCAAAACCTTCCAAAAAAGTTTTCTTCAAGGCTTGGACAGATGCTTCTTTTGAGGAGGAAGCTCTGCAGCCGACGAAGCTTATTCCAGGAATATGTCAGTAATCTAGGAAATAAATAGTGGAGGGCACAATTTAGTGGAGCATATGGTGGAGAACGAATGAACAAAGAGATGCAATGGGAATAAATGAAGCCATCTTTTCCTTATGGGTCGGTCACCCATGTGGATTGCTCCAAAGCATTAATCAAGAATAATAATGTCCTCGATGCTCCTAATGAGGTGTCGTAGCTCGATAGGGGTATTTTGATCTAACACGCTAAAACAGAGGTGAGAGTTGTTAACTATCTCTGATTAAGGTGGTCGGTCAGATGGTGAAAGGATGTGTTTGTCCTGGAAATGAACAACTCAGAGTCTCACATCAGCAGAAGACCTAACAAGGAAAGGCAGTCATGCAAGGACCATATTCAAAGATCAAACCAGTTTAGTTTATGTATGCTTACAATCTCTCAATTTGTTTCCTTTGGGTCTCCCTGAGGCTTGTTCTAAAAGTATTTCTTCAATGATAAGGTAAGGTTATCAAACTATAAAAGTAATACTTGGATCAACAAGACTCAGTACCTGAAATTACACCATGTAGTAGTAGTGGTTGGTGTCTGATCAATCAGCTGAATAAGAGTGCTGATTTCTCAAATAAATCAAGAGGTTTCCTCGTGACTTGGCCTAATTCTCAATCAGCAGTTCACATACGACACATCATGAAGTAAGCCTAAGAACTCCAAAATAGTGGGAGATGGCTTCATGACATTCTCGAGTAAAAAGTCCGCATCTTACTTCTCTGCAAGATTCTCTATATTTTCTCAGAAGAAAGGTTGTTTAAGAACCTGTTAAGCCTGACTGGAACTTCATGTTCTTTCCAATTTGCAAAGAGACTATAGCTCATCATGCTTAGAAGGTTGACTTTTGTTCAAATCTTCAAGTTTTTGTTGCAGTTCCTGCCAGAATCACCAGAATTCTATTGTTAGCTTTAAACCAATCTAGGAAGGTTCAACCTTTTGAATGGGAAAAATATGAAGTACCTTCAACTTATCTTCCAGACATACGATAGGAGTGGAGAGAATTGCAACATACCTGACATGGAAAACATCAAATTTTAAATAAAGAGTACTGTGAGATGAGAGGGTAGCTTGATATAGAAAGATGTCATACTCGCATCGGCTTGGTTCATCCACATCAGCAAGCTCATCTTTCACACCACACCTAAGCCTAACCTGTTACAAGGATATCAAGGTTGAGAATCAGAAACACCCTTCTGAGAGATTATGCATGCGGACAAATCTTTCGAGCGGTACCTTTAAACTTCTATCTGGGCCATTCCAGCATCTGTCTCCATTAGAAAATTGCATTACTCTGTAAGATTCATCAAATTTCTCCCAGTTCCTGATACAAGAGAATACTGTGAGCATACAACCTTAACAGTTGAACATCATATTGTTGAGAACTTGATGTCCACTAGACACTTGAGCTATGAATTCAATGGCAACCCCAAACTTGAAAAGAACCTATTCTAAATAACTAATAATGGCATGAAATTCTTTTCCTTTTATTTTCAAAGTTACGAATTCTGCCACAAATAATGATGAAAAACATACTGAAAGCATTAAAAGAGTAGATTTAGAAGTAAAAAATGAACACCCATGATCTTTTGCCAGAAAGGCACTCCATGGAATATATGCCTACTCAACCTTCAGGTGACAATCACACACAGGTCTCCAGAAAGATGAACAGGATCCATAATGAAAGCAAAACTTGTGCTTGAATGTCCCAACTTATCAAACATATTTTTATCATGCTATCCTCGGTTGCTCAGTGTGTGCACCTCATGTCCACAACGAGGCAAGCAGTATTTTACAAACAAAATTATTCCCTCTGATCTTAGCACATCATTCAGGTGTTCAATCACCAAAACTATCTTATGAACACCAAAACTATCTTATCAACAATTAAATTTCTCAACCTTGCTTAACCTTTCAAGATTCTGAAATCCAGTTAAACATACTTCAAATACAAAAATGGGAACAGAACCAAGTCCCAAACAGGAGTTGAGAAGGCAATGGTAGTTAGGTCTAAAAACAATGAAAATAACATACTTGTTTGATGATTTCACTGCCAGTGTTAAAACCAAGTGGCAGCAGATCAGAATACGATCGGCCACGTAGATTGGCATAATACTTCAGATGTTAAATAAAACTTAACATAACGGAGTAGTCTTAAGACCTGGATATGTAGGTTGATATAGTATTTCAGATATCAATTTTTTGTCTTTACAAGGAAATAAAAGCTGAGCTCTTACCCAGTAAAAAAGACCAACCTTTCTCCAAGCAAATAATACCAACTAATCAGCTAAGTGTAAGAACTTACCCTAATTGCGTAGTACTATGATCTTCAACTTGAGAAGCCTTTTTAAATGGACAGACCTTATAAACATACCTAGCAACAAACAAGCCAAAAGCACATATTATTAAAGTAGAGAATCACAGTGCATTTAAGAACAAAGAAAAGCAAGAGGTATGTGTCTAATACATACTTGTTCTGCTTGTTCTCAAAGCAACGATCATAAAATGAATAAAATTCTTTGTCTTTCCCTGGTAAGAGATGATACAAGCTTTAGCAGCTATTTGTGGTCATTTAACTCAACCGATAGACATCAAAGAATTTTGCAGAGAGAACTGACAGTAATCCATATGGACATTACACAATAATTTATTTTGCATCTGTACAGTAAAAGAAAGAACCCAAAAAAGTTCCACCTAATGCACAATTATCAGTTTATATGCAATTTGTAAAATTAAAATGGTTGGCCCTACCAAAGAATGTTTTTCCTAGAACCTTTATATGCACCTAGTAAAGCTTCCACCATTGTATACAAATCACTAGTACCTTGAGACTGAAGAAGACAGTTAGTAACGAGGATCGTAGCATGTCGTAGAACCAAGCACAAGTTAAACATGCAGCAATAGTGAGATTTGATACAGGATGACTAAAACGGAAATGCCAACAGGAATGAAAAGTAAAAGTTTGATAATGATATGAACATGTAGAGCTGTTGGCAGCTAAAAGCACAAAATAACAAAACCCTTAATTTTATTAGTTTCACAAGCACATGAACAACCATATCTACTAGCAAATGATTTTTATCAGTACACAAAAATCTCATGTGGTATACTTACCAAAATCATGTTTTAGCTTTTCGGTCAGACTGGAGATTCTTGATCGCAACTTGGACAATTTTGAGTTGGCATCATTGTATTCCTTTTTAATACGAGAGGCCTCTGCAGATGTCAAAAACCAAGATGCCATGATTCTCATGCTCCTAACAGAGCTGTAAGGAGACACATTAGCTACCTGATATATCCACAGGACTCTTGAAAAAGTTAAAAGCTTGAAGGATATTTTGAATAGTCTGTTGTATCTTGTCCACCCATGATGAGCTACCTGATGGAGTTAAATCTGCAAAAGGAAAGTGACAAACTCAACATTCCAAAACCTCACATTATCAAAACATTAACAGGTTTAAAGACAAAGCTAAATTAGGATGTGGATGAATAACTCCATTTAAACCTGATAACTCAGAACTGTAATCTTTGTCAGGGTCATAAGAGCCATCAGGTTCAACATGATCTTCTCCATATTCTTCATCTGCTTCATCTTCAAAGTCATCATCATCAAACTTATGTCTATCATCATCAATGTCAGAGTCATAACTTTCTTCTTCTACACTGTCTGAAGAATCTTGATTTTGTTCATGTTGTTCATGTTCTTCCTCTTTTGCATCATCAGGTTCATTTGTTTCTTTCATGGAGTGTTCACCCGTCCATCGTGATGCTACAAGCCGTCCCAACTCTTCTCTTGATAAACCATCTGCGCTCTCAGAACCCTTCTCCTGCAAGATTTTACTATGTGACATACAAGACAATCTTGAACAAGGTTGTAATTTCGTCACATGGTAAGTAGGCATACTGTTGAGGATGCCATGAGCCAAAAAAATAGCATTAATATGTTCGCGTTTCTCTTACACAAAACAAACTCATGCAGTCTCTAAGCTAGAAGAGTTCAAAGCTGAAAGAACTTGAGTACATTGCCAGGTTTAGAGAAAATGTAGCACACAACCTGTCGTTATATTAGAGAATAAACTATCATCTCACTACATTTCTAAAAACATGAAATCGATCAACCTAAACATCAGCCGAAAATAAAACTCTGCTAAGCATTAAATGACAGTAAAATAACATGCACCCATTTCTAGTAATTAAATATTTGTCTATGTTCCTGTCTTACATGTCTCCAAGACCATTAAAATGAAGCTCAGTTTCCGCAATAAGGAACCACCTTTCAGCATGGTCAGCCTGAGCAATGCATATCTCAAAAATATTTCAAATTTTGGTTTCGGTTACTAGAAGAGATTCAAGTTTGGCAGCTTTTGTGATTCAGGAACTTTGCAGCAGCTTCAGATTTTCATCAGTAGCAGTTTTTATTAAAGTATATATCGCAAAAAGATATCTTTCAGTTGCTTCCATGAAAATAGTAGGATCAGTATCTATCCAAATCAGATGTATATATGGCAGCTCTAAGTTAACTTCTTAGCTTAAGATATCATAAGTTTACAGCAAGAACTGCAATAGTTAAAAGACTAGTAGTCTTTAATATAATAGAAGCACATGTCAGGTTTTGCCATTACCATTTCTGCGGCATGATCTGAATCAATCTCCTTGGCTCCAGTTTCATAATTAGGACCAGCATTAGTTGTAGTTTTGTCTTCATATACATGCTATTTGAAGAATCCAAGAGATTATACAAAATTAATAACTCGTACAACTTTCTATATACCAAAATCTAACCATAAGGCTGCCAGATAGAGTTACATGAGGTTGCTTCATTACCTGATCTGTAGAAAGGCCTGAAGGTAACTCAGCACTTGTATCATCAGAACCATGATCAGATCTGATGAAGTTATGATGATCATCAACAACCTGCTCCAATAAAAGAGAGAAAGTACATGACAATAAATCGAAAGGAAATTACTAGACAAACTAAACTAAAAATGAAAACAATATGAAAGAACTTGGAATACCTGACCCACAGTGTGATCAGCAGGAATATCAATCCCAGAATTATACTCTTTTTCCAATTGATCTACAGATTCATGACCAATATCCATCTTATCCAGCTATAAGCAAAAGTGAGAATGTCATAAAGATACTAGTTGCCATGAATATCATAAGAGTGACATAATCTTAATTGCTACAAAAAATTGCTGGAATTGTTCCTAGTTCAGACAATGTTTTCATGAGTATAAGAATGGAAGCAAGTTATTATTGGTTTTCTAGTAAGGGTAAAACATGATGGAGACATCTGAAAAAAGAGAGAAACCAGCTTTGGACTTCTTAACCATACAAGATAAAACAGCAAACTGCTGCATATTATATGTACTTAGATATGACTGTTAATCCAATCTTCCCCATGTTTTCTCTATTTTGACATCACTATATGGTGATTAGTATCATAATGATACTCAAACTATAATAGTCCAGATGACACCAAGAATATCATGCAAGAAGATATGAATAATAAGCTCCTAAGGCAGCACCTATAGTTCTGGCTGGTGCAAATATGGTTGATATTTACATCCAAGTATACTTATTTTTCTAAGAAATAAAACTTGGTGTCCAACAATTCTTGGGACCAATACATAAATCGTCATCAAATCTATTATTGATCTAAGACTTCAAACATTATGTTTCACTTTTGTCATCCAAGTCTTTTGGAATTATCTTCATGGACATGACATCTCTAACTTGAATTGCCAAGGGTCATTTATGAATTTCTTTGAACATACCCAAACCACTTCACAATACTCATCTAGTCCTTGGGTGCTGACTCCAACATAAATAAAACCCAATTGGCATTGTTTTACTAGAGCCCACCAATTCAATTCAACATTTTAAAATACAAAACGTTATAATGAATGTGCTCATTCATTTTAACATTTCGATAATAAAGAAAAACTAGGGAAGTAGAAGGAAAGATTTTCTTTTGTGATACTAGAGGATGTGAAAGAGAGAGGAAAGGAAACACAATAATCGGAGAAACAATCAAGAAAAAGGATAACAATCAAACTCATTTTGGCTCATGGGGATCTCATGATAAAGCCCCACATCACTTACACATACTGTGGGGAAACATACTTTTATCCATTCATCTTTTAATTCATTCGTTTACAATATCTTTTCCTCTTTTTATAAACCCTAAGCACAAAGAAGAAAAATACATAAATAAGAAAAATATAAAATTACATCTAGACAAATCAATCAAATGTTCTTTTCTTTTTCAAAGAAGATGGTATTCTGGATCTAATTTGGAAAATAATTATTTTCCTTATTGATAATATTATTAATTTATTATTAATTGATAAACTTTTGTCTACATAAAATGAGAAAAACTTTCGCATACAGATGAACAAACTTCAATCAAGACAAACTTTGATTTCTTCCATCTTTTTCTTAAATGTCTTCCTTTTTTCCATGTGATAACTTACATTTACAAAATACTCAAAAGTCTCGAACTAATAAAAATATATTCAAATAATAAATATATTAAAATGATCCCACATCAAATTCAGTCTGGAATCTCTAGGAAAGAATTAATCAACCTAAATTCAAAAACCAAAATCGGAATCTATACAACTTTTTTTCTAATCTACTAGAAATAGGTAGTTAATTGATACACCAACCATGTCCTAGTTTAGGTCAACATAAAATGTTCCTTGTCAAACTAAATCAACCCATCCCATCTACCAATCACATGTCCAATAACATGCCTAGCTTCTTCAACTATGAGCATGGTGTAGACTCAGACCATATATCATGCAAGTATTACCTATTTTGATGAAGTCAGTGTTTTTAAAAGTGTTAGGCGTCTACCTGAGCGCCTAAATATTAAACTTTAAAAAATAAAAAATAAGACAATATGGTTTCTACTGATGGATATCTATGCTAAACAAGTTTCTAACCAGTGCTAAACAGTTCTAACCAGTGCTAAATAGTTCTAAAGAGTGGATCAATATGGTGCTAAATATTTCTAACCAATGCTAAACAAGTCTAAAGAGGGAACTGAGAATATGAGTAACTGACGGTCGTGGAGAAAGATGGATGAAGGAGAGGACGGCAAAAGAAGCTATAGATGAAGGCGACAATGACGGACGAAGCTACGGTTGAAGGCAATGGTGACGGACAAAACTGCAAACGAAGGCGACGAACGGAGCTGTAGCGACGGACAAAGGCAGTGACAGTAGACATAGGGTTTCATTTCAAGTTTGTCTCACTGTATCGAGCACGGGTTTTGTGTTAGGGTACATTAGTCGGTTCAATTGAACTAACTTGCTTGCTCAATCAAACCAGGCTCGAATCCCGACCCAACTTCACTCGAGCGCTCGCTCGAGGCACCTGGGCTCAGGCAAGCGCTCGAGTGACACTTCACTGAAACGCCTCACCTGAAGGTTTTGCAAGGCGCTCGGGCCTCGCGTCACCTCACCCAAGCGCTTAGGCGAGCGCCTTTTAAAAACACTAAATGAAGTCATATAACATATTACATATTCACTATTTAAGCTTGATTACATATTTGCTTCTTTAATTAATTTTTATTTTATCTTGATTATTTTATTATAAACTGCATAAACACCTACCTATGAGTACCTAAACCACCAGCATACAAAACCATTTTTTGAGAATATTGTCCAATCTGAAGTGCACACAAGTACAAATGCAGTTGGAGCCTCATATGCTCTATGAGTCACCTTCGCAACCTTCATTTTGCTACCAATTTTTAAAATTGCTTCAAACATTTTTGGGGGGCAAATAAGTCGTTTAGGCAACTTAAGTTTCTCTCCATTAGTATCCTTTTGATCACCTAATTTAGTTCGTTGGCCATTATTGAAATGAACTTGCTATCATAAATTTATTTCACTCATCATGTTATTGAATCTCGGATTTTGATGATGAAATCAATTGATGAAGTTATGTTCTAATAAGCGTTTAAGTGACGCAGGACTAACTTTGATCATAGAAAGACAAATCGATTAAAGAAGAAGAATCAGACGTTAGGCCGGAGAGCATCATGTCAGAAGATTGGTCGACGTGCCGAAAAATAGACTTTGTGCCATGAGTTCGGGCATCGGGCCAAAGGGATCGGACATTGTGCCAAGAAGATCGGATGTTGCGGGAGTTCAACATGCCGATGGATCGGGCAATACGCCGAAGGAGAGGATGATGCTCCGAAGGTGAGGACGATGCACCGGATGAACCAATGGCATGCCAGACAACATAGGATTCATGTTTGTAATCGGTTGTGTCTTGATCGAAGTAGTTTAGGTCGAGTTGGTTTTGGATGTAACCGTACTAACTCAATTAGGAACCCATTGGGCCTAAATAAGGGCTGATTTAGGCCTATTGGAAGGCACATTCAATGACCTGCAGTTGGATCAGGCGGTGGCACCACCAAACCAAGCGGTGGCACCGCCAAACCAGACGGGGGAACCGCCTATGAGCTGGAACGTACAAAGTGTACATTTCCGAAAAACCCGACGATGGTACCGTCAGGGTCAGCAGTGGTACTGCCAGTGCACAAGGTGGCAAGCAATGGTACCACCCAGTACAAGCGATGGTACCGCCAATACACCAAAAACTCAAGGATTTGAATTTTGGCTCTATTTTTTTAAATCATTTGGGGCCTATAAATACCTCATTCATTCTTGCTTGGGATAGCAAGAAAAGAGAGCAAAAAGGGAAAATAATTCTTGAGAAAAAAAGGTGTGTAAACTCTCTTAAAGTGTAGAGTCTCTTCCTCCTAGAGTTGGAAATCTTCTAAGGGAGGAGTGAGGTCTAAGTGTAAAAGAGAGGTGTAAAGGTTCTCTCCTGAGCCTGTGAAAAGGAAAAAGAGTTCTAACGAGAATAGTTGATCTTCACCCATTGAAAGAAGATCATTAGTGAAGGTCGATAGCCTCGACGGAAGAGGAATCGGGAGTGGACGTAGGTCACAACGACCGAACCAATATAAATTCGGTGTGCATTTCCCTTTATGCTCTTCATTACTATTACTTTCTGATTTAATTGCTTATTACACTTACTCATACTCTAAGTCAAGCACACTTTTGATATCAGTTTTTAGCGAACGAATTTTCAAATTGCAACCTTTCGAAAGCACTAATGTCCTCTTAGTGTCTTTACGATCCTAACAAAGGTCTGCAATTTCGTACCCTACCGGAGTTTCGACGATCGCTCGGTACGATACGAAACTATATACCGAGCGGTATACCGCTCGGTATATATATATATATATATATATATATATATATATAC